ATTTTCGTTGTAATTTGCTCGAGCTTAATTTTCAGTTTCAAAACTAACACACACACATGCACACATATATAGAGATAAAATTAGCAGAACTTGTACATTATCTCTCTCTATAAAAAGCTTACCACATAATGTGCATGGATATACGAGGGACTCATAACAACTGTGCAAGAAGGGTATTCAGATTCGAAAGCCCTTGCTCTCTGAAGGGCTCTATTTGTACCATGTGCCGTAACTGGGTTCATCTTCCTAAGAACTTGAAGAGTTCTTCGGTTCATTATTTTTTTAGTCAAAGACGAGCCACCAAATTTCTTTCTGTGGTTTTCTGCTGTGCTAATTGAACATGTTCTGTTTTTCTTGTGAGGCTGTGGTGCTATTGGTGATTTCGTCTTTGTTTTCGAGCATGTTGGAAAATCGTCCAAGATTTCAATGGAATCATCATCTTCATCAGTTTCTTCCATTTGGGACATTGTTTGTTCCCCGTCAACATCTGCAGGCACATCACGAAAGATGAACGTTATGGATAGTTAATCACTATGGCACTTCCATCAATTAATCAGTTCAGAAATTAAAAGACAACGTACCTGGAGGTGAGAATGTATGTGCAGTTTCTGTGGTGCGAAAAATGACAACTTCAAACACAAGTTTAGTGTCATCGATCAACACAAGTACGCACACATCACCGACTTCCAAATTATTGCCTCTTACAAATTCAGTCCAACCATACTGCAATCTGAGTTTTGGTCTGGTTGCCTTTTCACATTTCATTTCAACATACCAAGTTCTCCCATCAAAAGCCCGAAGGGTAACGGCACCAGAATGCTTACCAAGACGTCTCATGTGGATACACAATTTTGAAGGCAGCCACTGAAAATAATCAATTGAAGGAAAAGACGATAAGAAAACAAATTTGACGGTCCAGGATGGTTGTCTATAGGGAACTTACCGCAGAATGTCCATTGATATAAGTGCGCTTCATGGGAACTATGAAATAAGGGTTGTCAGATTTGAAAGCTGTAGCTCTCCGAAGAGCTACAGCAGCTTTTCCTCTTGCATTCGACGCATGCATACTCCCAAGAACTGTTTGAGCTCGTTTTGGAGTGCTGGACGTGCCTTCACCGTGTCTTTTGTATGCAAACTCAGCTTTGCATGTCAAAGAACACAGTAGGATATTACAAGTTATAACAGAATGGCAGAAAGCACAATAAGGTAAAAATTCGAAGCGAAACATACGTTGCGTATTAATGTTCAATTTTTATTTCTGATTTAGATTTTATTGACTTCTCAAACATCGTTTCCTAATGTAATCAGAGTAATTTTTTTTTTTTTTTTTTTTTTTTTGGTTTCTGGTTTTACCAGTTGAACTTGTTCTGAGCTTCTTATGAGGCCGAGGACATGACAATGGAGATTTGTCCCTTGCTTTTCTTGAGCGGGACATGATGTTGTCCAAGACTTCAACACAATCAGAGTCGTCATCATCATCCCAAGAACTATTGTGGGAATCATCATCTTCATCAGTTTCTTCCATCTCGGGCATTGTCAATGGATAGTTGATCTCTGTGAAATCCTTGTCAAATACACGAACGCGGAATGTTGAATTCCCTTCATATCCGAAAACTAACGAATGACAGCAGTCTAGAGAGTAAAACTTCGAGAACTTTGGCCAACCCTCGCCGAACCAGACCTCACCCTCCCATATTCTGAGTTCTATTTTCCACTCTGAACCAGTTGGAAGCTTAAGAAATACTGGATTCGAAAGATCATCTCCATATTTCCTAAAAAAATTGTTTGGAATCCTCTGCACAACACAGAACTTGTCACCAAATTGTTCGTATAGTGAAAACTATTATCTGATCTTTGTGGCTATGAAATGTATGGGTACATTAACTGCATCAAATCCCATTAAGTCAGACTCTTCATTGTGAGAGGGGTTAAATACTTCGGTGCCATTTGATAATCATTTCATTTTCAGCTTTCAGAAAACCAAAAACTAACAACTTAAAAGCTAAATTTTGAGAACTAAAAAAAGCAAGGAACGTTTGATAACCATTTCGTTTTTTGTTTCAAACTAATCTCCAAAATCGAGCACGGACATTAAATACGAGTACATGCATAAATGTAAGCAGGTACAGACTACGGTTAGAGAGAGAGAGAGAGAGAGAGAGATACTCACAAGTTTGGTCTGTGTACAAATAGACTTCGGAATAACTACTAGAAAATGGGGAGCTTTAAGATGTGTTTTTGAAGAGAAGTCATGAATTTTCCGGTGAAAAGAAGCCATTTTTTGAAGCTTATAAAAAGCTTGAAGATCTGCTTCAAAGCCTTAGAGTTGTCAGCAGTTCACTCAGCCCAGCTCCAGTTTATGGACTAGCAAGAAGAAGGTAGACTGGCAAACTAATTAAGTGCTTGAAGAATTAAATGCTCAGTCCACCAACTCAATCGTTATTAATTCAGTTCACAACTTAATGCTTGTTCTTGAAGTCATCGTAGTGCAGCGGTTCATGAATGCATCAATGTGTCTGTACATGTATACTCTGACTCTAACTACCAAATCCAAATCCTTCATATTAATGAGAAATATTAATTGGGAACATGATTACCGAGGCGTCCAAGTACAATAACGTCTTACCATATCCAAATCCCCCATTCATTATTAACGAGAAATATTAATTGGGAACAGAATTACCGCTACCGAGCATCATAGTTCAATAATGTCATACCAAATTTAAGTTTTTTTCTACTTGACAATATATTATTGGATCGAGACTTCATGTGATGTTGAAGCAAGTTGCTCTCCATATTAACACATTTTGGTCTTGCAAGATAGAGCGTGCCAATCTAAACTCTGCAAGATAGACACCTTTGGTGAATATACTTATGAATGTTAACCAAGCTGCTAAATTCAGGAGCTAGAAATAGTGGGTAATTATACTGTTCCGCCTCCACTTTTTTGTAGGTTTTTTTATGGGATAAAGCAACAAACTTCGAGCTATTTTTGACACTCCAAAAAGTATTTGCACTTTAAATTTATAAAAACACAAGAGAAAATTTGTATAGGAAGTAGTGCAGAATATGATGGGCTAGAGTGCTAATAGTAGCAACCCTTTAGAAGGAGTGCGGCTATACATACTCGCCCAGTGGCGAAACTAGGAATTGTTGGGAGGAGGGGCGAAATGTCACATCCCTAGTCCGGGCCTTCATCATATTCCAGACTCGACTCTACCGTAGCACGATATTGCCTACTTTGGGCCCCGACCACGCCCTCATGGTTTTGTTAGCACGCCTTGATTTCAGTCGGGGTGTGTCACGAAATTTAAAAGTGTAAAAGGTTTAAAAAAAAAATATAGACAACCAAATCCTTTTAAATAGTAGACAATATTAATTTCGTTCATAATCTATCAATACAAAAAAATTTCAATTATTATCAACGAAGTTTCATGTCATGAAAACGTGGTAGTACCTATGTAAAAAGTTCGAGGTCACCATAAGTCCGAGGTCTTGAAGATCAAACATGGTATAGTACCCATGTTAAAAAAATCACAATGATTAGCCATTAATTATATATCTTTAGGCATGACACTGCAACCATCTTGTAATGCATTGTTATCTTCCACTGAATTTCTTTACAAAAAAAAATTTCACTTTCAATTGACACTCTAACCCCTAATATAGAAAATATATTATGAATGATTCGTAACACAAAAGCTTATATTTATACAACGTTTATGCTTGGTGTACAATTAAGAATCTCATCCTATATAGATACAATCAAAATCAAGTTACAATATTAATTTATATCCTTAGAAATTACAGTTGATTTTGACAAGACTCCTTCTCTAACACTCAAGTCTTCCACCCATATTTTATAGGATGGTCAATTTTCATTGAAAACCCTTGCCACTTAGCATAGAAAATTTACAAATGAAATATAAAATTTCATATTTTCTCCTGGTTTAAATAAAAATGATGTCTTGTAAATTTCTATTTGATTTTACGTTAACTTTTTTGTATTTGTTTTCTTATAGTTTTCTTTTTAGATGAAATCAGAATAAAAAATTGATTATCTTCATTCAAAATACAAATTGTGGGGTGCTTGAATTTCATCAGGTGGTCCCCACAATCCCACACCTCAATGGCCGCAGGTCTGGTGTCTTTAAATTTTGTGTCTCTTTAGTGTCTCTTTTCTAATTACTTAACACGTGTCTTCCAACTTACTAAAAGTTAACACTGTTAACTTCATTATTTTGATTATTTTGTATCGGAAATTAAAACCGAAAACCCAGAAATACCAAGGTAAAGTAAACGCCAAATTCTTCAGTTCTACCGATAGCCATCGAATCACCCAAACCCATAACCAGCCCACCTCGCCGACAACAACTCCGTATATTCATAGACGTCGACCAAATCTCATATCTCTCTCTTTCTCTCCCATGATTTCATATGGATTTAACCATCAAAGGAGGAGGATGTTTTGGCTGGGATTTTGCATTATAATGACAGTGAGAGAGACTGGAGGAGGAGGATGTTGGATTCTAATGAGGGACTTGGTGGTGGCCTAGCTAGCCGCTGTTGTGGGGTGGATAGTCTGGTTTCTAATCAGGCCAGATGCTCACAGTCGGAGGATTCGACTGGATGTTTCCCCGACAGATCTACGAACGATGGTTAAAATTGAGTCGATTCGTGTGCCCAGAGAGACTGGAGGGGGAGGATGTTTTCCCAACCGTGAAACTGGAGGAGTAGGATGTTTTTCCGGTCGTGAGACTGGAGGAAAGAGATGTTTTCCGGTGGGGTTGCGGTGTGTGTGCCTAGAGGATTTTTGGAAATTCTCCTTTTAATGAAAGAAATAATAAAGTTAACAGTGTTAAGTTGAAAGACGCGTGTCAAGCAATTAGAAAAGAGACATTGAGGAGACACAAAATTTAGAGACGCTAGTCCTACAGCCCACCTCAGTCTCTAATTAGCACCACACTTTCCCACAAACCGCACTGTTTTATTTATTTTTTTCAAACCCCAAGTCCTACCGACATCATTTGGTTTGGGTATTTTAAGAAAAAATTGAAACGCAGATTCTGTAAAGACAGAACCAAACCAGCAGCGCAGCGCCGCATCACACAATCAGAACCAAACGCATCCCAGATTCCGACAGTCTGGATGTTTAAAAAAAATAAAAAACAAAACAAAACAAAATAGCTTTGCTGCGCAGCAGCAAAACCAAATCATGGACATCAGCAGTGGGTCAAACTTGTTAAACCCCACCCCCAAAACTAAATGTAATTTCACACTTTATTTAACATTTATGAAGTTACATTTGTACCCCAGAATTTCTACCCAATCCAGATCCCATTTTCATAATTCCTCTAAATTTCTCTCCTCTCTCTATCTGCCATGTGGCAGACTTTCACCCTCTCTCTCTCTCTCTCCCTCTCTCAGCTCATACACTCTCTTTCATTCTCGGATCTCCTTCAACTCACTTTCCATCTCCCATTCCTGATCAACCCACACATAAACCTTCGAACCCACACCCCCCACAAACACCAACCTTCAAACCCAGGACTTTCTCTCTCACACACACATAAACCTTCGAACCCACACCCCCCACAGACACCAACCTTCAAACCCAGGACCTTCTTTCTCTCTTCCTTCTCCGTGAAGTGTCGGGACACCCAGAGGACACCCAACCCAGGTCTTGCGAACTCGTGACTATCGAGCAAGATTCCGGCCACCTCCGACCACTTCACGACTTGAGATAGGTACTAATCTTTCCTTCTTATCTCTACATTTGTGTTGGTACTTAAATCGTAGACTAGGGTGGTGTTTTAGCGTCGACCGGAGCTTGGGAGGCTCCTGCCTTCTCCCCCAGCAAGAAACGGGTCGGCTAAAACTAACCCATTAAGTTCAAACCCTTCGAAGGCCCAAAACCAAAGCCTTTAAACCCATTTAACCCTGGCTCTCTGGGCTTTACCAACTCGAGCCTTGGCCCGCTTAAACCACAAAACCCTTTGCTTTGGGTTGGGCCTCTAAGCTCGAGGCTCGATAGAACCAAAACCCAAAACCCTACAGACTCAGGCCTTTGGGCCGTGCAAGATTGGGCCTTCGGCCCAAGTAACCCAGGCCTAGAAACCCTTTAGGCCCAAGCCCAAACTTGGTCCAACCCAGAAGCCTAGCCGCGTGTGAGTCTGCTTATGGGCGACGCGTGGAGTACATGCGCCACCGTTGGTGGCGTGTGGCCGCTAAAGCCGCCAACCTTGCGGCAATGCGTGAAAGCGCGTGCGGTGACGCTTGAGGGTACCCGAGGTCCCCCCTTATGTTTTTCGACGTCTTGAATCCATTTATCACGTTAGTTTCCGAAATTCAATCGTTTGAGTATAATTTTATTAATTGGACCCTTTATGTGCTTAGGTGCAATTATTAGTGGCAATTTCGTCCTTTCTATTTCGTATGGCTCTTCGATGACAAAGTATCTGTGAGTGGACCCCTTCTAAAATGCATGTTTTAATAGTAGAAATGCATACATAAAAAGCATGATGTAATGGTTACGTTTTATGAGTAAATTAGATTTACACTTTATAATTATCATGTTTTACTAAGAATATTTTGGAATACCATATTTTATCAAAACTTATGTTCTTTGTAGTATATATGATGGATGACTATATGATATGAAGATGATTTTGAGATATATGTACCTATGTTTGGAAAGATTATATTCAATGGTTTTGTGTGTATCTAGTAGTCAATGTTCTTCCTACGGGCAATGATACTTATGTTGGCTTCGGCCGGGCGTGTGTAGGGCACTGTTCTGTGCGTATATGATACTTATATTGGCTTCGGTCGTGCGTTGGTAGATGGCTTCGGCTGGAAGATACTTATATATGATACTGCTAGTTAGCACACTATATGATATATGTTTCATGAAAGGTTTTATGGCATGCTAGGGTGTTCGGAAAAACCTATTACATATTATGCTATCAAGTTTTCATAAAACTTTAGAGGTTAGTATGTTGATAACTGTTTCAGTATTATATATACATCAACTTGGTCCACTCATGTTTGTTTTGCGGCCCCTTAGGACATAGGAACGAGGCTTACGATACACGCTACGAGGCATTCCCCTACCAGTGATATTGTGTCATCTTCTTTGCTTGACATCTATTGTAATGACAGCCCTTCTCTATTTTACCTTCCGCTTGTTCTCTAGATTAGTTGTATACTCTGAACATGTCATGCATTATTATTATATTCATTGTTGGCAGTTGAAATTATTATTGTATTTTGTAAGACTTATATTTGAATATTACATTGCGTAATAATGCGCGAAATTTATATGCATGTTTTACATGTTCTTAGCATATGCATTCATTAAATGGCTTGCGTCACCCTCGGGTGTTGGCCAGCACGTGGCTATCCCGATGTCCCCTAGACATTGGGATCGAGGCGTGTCAGAACCAGTTGGGTTTTTTGGCGAGGGGAGGAGCTGAACCAGTGCTCTAGTCGTGTTTTCTGGCGAGGGGAGTGGTGGCCGCCACTCCTCACCCTCACGTGGCTTCGCCACTGCACTCGCCTATCATATTTTTTTCACGATCTTATAGTTATAAAATTTGTAAACAGCTTTAGTGCCCTTGTCTTCCAAAAAAAACCGCTTCCAGCAGTCCATTTGGTAAAGGGCAATTGGTGGGCCAACACATGCCTGTCCAAAAGCCCGAGTAGCTTAAGCTCGGCCTTGTGCTAGTGGACAAGGCTGACGTCAACATGGTGTCAGCCACATTCAATTTTTTTTTTCTTTTTTTTTTTTTATGCGTGATGGGAGATAATGGGCTGACTGGGCCCCTAAGCTGTCAAAGTAACTCAGCTCCCCAATAGCTATACACGTGGCATTTTATGGGCAGTTGGATTTGAAACGGCCTTAAGATTCAACAGCCAAAATTAATCTTGTTCAAATTTTTGAATAAAGGTTTTAAAAAATTAGAGAAATTAATGAAAATTCAAAAATAAATGTATTTAAAAATACAAAAATATTATATATTATATATTTTTCTATAGACACCTATCCATCTTCTTCACTACCATATCAAAAATCTAACACGTACGCTAGTTATTAAATAACTTAATTATGCTTTAAAATTAAAAAAAAACATTTGTAAATATGAATCGTCCTTGTCCTTGCCTTTAACTCAACAAGTGGACTTACACAAAGGTAATCACTTTTGAAAGGGCAATTTACGTGCCCTTGTCCTTGCTTAGCCCTTGCCTTTGCCCTCTTAAGAGCAAGTCCATTGGTTGCCCAAGTGACAATGCAATTGGGTTGAATTGCCTTTGGCTGCAAAAAGGTGGTCCACTGGTGCAAAAAATGGAGGGCAATTGGACCAAGGGCTTGTGCTCTTTCAATTGTCCTTGCAACTTATGTATAGGCTTACACTTGCTGGCTACAGGATATGACAGAGTGGGGTCCACCCACATGCATAGCCCAGAGCCAAATGACTCATTTTTCCTCCAACTTGTGCCGTTGGATTTCCAACAGTAAAAAAAGTTGCAAAATTTTATGCAGCTGCCAAGTGGCACAATTTGGGGCATCCATCAAGATTATTCTAAAGGTAAAAAAATTCAAAAAATATACCCCAAAAACTAAAAAAATGCCCTTTTTTTTTTCTTTTTTTTTTTTTCTGTAAGTACCCAACCATCATCATCATTACTTATATTTGAAATATATTATAGAAATCAGACAATAATTTTATTTTCATGAAACACTCATCAAAGCATAAAAAATAAAAATATGTATTTTTGAATAGTGCCTTGCCCTTGCTTTTCACAATCGGGTTGACTTCTAAAAGAGCAATTACTAATCAAAAAAAAAAAAAATTAAAAAATGAGGAAAGGCTCAATGGTATTTGAACTTCCACGTTGCACCTGACATGCGGAGCCACGTAAACTTTGCCCCTCTGAAAACTTTGCCTGCCCATATTCACAAAGAAGCCATTCTCACATCCCCAGCCCAGCCCACCCCACATCCCAAGACTAGCCGAAAGGGCATCTCGTGTAATTCCCATGAAATTAAAGGTCAAGGTAATTTTAGCTTTCACTAAATAGTCACCGGGATACGAAGGCTGAACTAATAGTTTGTCAATCATGGCGCTTCTGGTTCCTGGCGGTGGTGGGTGCGTACGACTACGAGTAGGCCACTCGTCCCGGCCGGCGCACGTTAGACCGAGCTTCGTTACCTTTGCTACGGTGTCCCCAAAGACCCCAACCAAAGGCGACAGAGTGGACTGGGTGGAAGCAACTTCAGGCTTCTTTGAAAATGACACGAGGCCCATCATGTTGTTCGACGGTAATAACGGTTCATTTTAGCACTGAACCTCCTCGTCATGCTACTTTGCGCTTGGTGTAAAAACAGCACTTTATGGCTCTTGTTTGTGTTGTGCAATATGGGATTAGCTAATTGAGACTGGTTTTCAAGTTTAAATATTTGATATGTAACGGTCAACTCTTTTTCTTTTCTTGGCAAAGAGTTATTGTAAGCCATTCTAATTTGCGGGGAGCGGAATTCAAACTTGGAGGCAACAGAGTGGGGACACGACTAACTGATCTAACTTACGTCTGTATAATAAGTCATGTTTCGAATAAGTTGCAGAGGAAAATACAAATATACTTTTGTCCATCTTGTAGTTTTACTCCATGGAAGATAGTGAATGAGGCTAGAACTTCATAATATGTTATGTATTTCTGTAATTCTTAATATGGTTATGTTCTAAACTACTATGTTTTAGAGTTTAGTTGGATTCGTTGGCGCAGAACGTGAGCACAATGCAAATTCTGCAATTGCGTTACAGATACAATGAATACTCATGATCGTCGATTTTTTTCGATTTTTTTACAGGTGTTTGTAACTTGTGTAATGGAGGTGTAAAGTTCGTGCGGGATAATGATCGAAATAGGTTCGATTCTCCTCTTCCTTTGATTGTTTAGACTCTATTATGATCATCATTAAGCCAGCAAGATTATATTTAGTAGGGGAAGAATGATCTCTTTTCTTCATATATACAATCCTTAAGCTTGATGAGTGCAAATTATTTGGTAACTTATGAGGCTTATCTTCAATCTTTTCCTCAATGCATTGTTCTTGTTAATTCACTTCTGACAGGAGCATAAGGTTTGAAGCTCTCCAGAGTGAAGCAGGGAAGAAACTGCTCAGAAGGTCTGGAAGAGCTCCCGATGATATTTCAAGTGTTGTTCTTGTTGAAAAGGATAGGTATACACAATGACCTCATTGCTTATCTGGAGCAGTTTTTAACAATTGTCAAGGTTTTGATGAATGATAACATTTTTCTCATTCAAATGAATTTTTTCATATAAATTACTTTCTCGTAAGTGCAACGGTCTCTCAATTTGACGATTCCAACTGCTAATTTAAATATTAAATTACACAGCATGTAGCAGATATATCTATAAAGGATTATACGAGTAACATTGATAACTGACATCGTGAATTTCAGATCATTCATCAAGTCAGAAGCTGTTGTGAAGATAATGGAATATATAGACTTGCCCTTCCCCCAGCTAGCGTTTTTCGCCCAGTTTGTACCTCTGTAAGTCATCCCTCTTTGTTTTTTATATAATTTTTGTCTGTCAAGATTCAAACTGATGGACAATGCCATGGTAATACACTGTTTCCATAACTGATATTTATTTCTTCTTCCGGATGAATGCAGTTTTGTAAGGGATTTTCTATACGACAATGTAGCAAACAACCGTTACACAATCTTTGGCCGCTCAGACACGTGTGAGATATAGGCATTTGAATACTTTAAGTTTTCCTACTGAAGGTATGTATTGTAAAGTACGGATATGATGAATTTTGATTTTGTAATGTAAGTTTCACTTCCATTTTAATGGAATGAAAATTTATCTAATTTGTTTTACAAGTTTCTTACTATATAGCTTCATATTAACACGACGTCTAGAAGTACAGTTTGCATGGGAATTGGAGGCTAAGCTGTCTCCCTTCACAATCCTTGGGTTGATTAATCAAAATGCAGAAAGATTCTGAAATAGAAATTACAGAACTCATCTACATTGCTACCTCGATTAAAATATAACATAGCATTGCCTTCATCTCCATCTCCTTATCCTAGAAGACTCCCTGCTGTCTTTGCTTATATTCCGTTCCTCTCCTGTATGTGCTACAATCACTTCATTAATCCTGTTTTTGAGGTCAAGTGCACTAGCATGAACACCCGCAAGTGTGTTTTGAGTATATGATCATGTATGTTTGTGGGGATACCGTATAGGTATTTAAGTCATTCTGACAGCCCTGTGTTACCATCTTGAAATTTAGCGTAAAACTCACTATGCTCATTCACAGACAAAAACAATTTCAAGCAAATACTTACTAACAAAAGTGTCATGATTTGTTATAGATAAGAAAGTACGTGTGTGTGTGTGTGTGTGTGTGTATATATTTGTAATTTTTGAGCCTTATGAACTTATAAAGCGATTATTTAGTGTTTTTGTTATAACATGTCAAACCACATTCGAAATGTAGTAGCTTCTAGTCTGGCTTGTGAGATATATTCATTTCGTACATATACATACATACATTTACATCTGAACATTCACAAATATACATCCGAATGTCAGCAAGTTAATTAGATGCACTTTAGATATGCATGTCTTTCTTTTTCTGATATAAGGAAGTATAGTATATGGTGCCTTGTTTTTCCGTCATGTAGAGGTGGTGGTGTTATACCTGCAATTCTTGAGTAGGCAGTTGAGCTCTCTAGATTATTCGTTTGATTTCTAGAACTTAAGGTAGATTTTTCAGTGCCGGAGGACCGTATAGCTTACCAAAGCCATATGTGTATCTGCAATGAATGAGAAAGGAGAAATGTGAATCAGGGACTGAAGGTTGCTTGATTTTGATTTGTATTTAGTAGTAAATTTCTGAAAGGAAAGAAAACAATTTACTAACTTACCCAAGAACTAAGAAAACAAAAGCAGTGATCCCTAGCACATACTGATAGAACTTGTGCCTAGATTTACGTCTTCCCTCGTAGGTTGATGGAAGGTGCCTGCTGCTTATATAACCATACTGTGGACGAACTAGAATAACAAAGCCAAGGAAAAATCCTGCAAGGAATCCTCCTATATGAGCTGAACTGTCCACTTTAGGTATAAACCCAACAGCCATATTCACGGCAATGACAACCATGAGTATCAGGAGCGCTGTGCACTGAATAGCAAAGTTAGATCTTAGACGTATCCCTCATCGATTTGATCCTCAGCATTAAAAGCTGTTGTATTTTAGATGCCGGCATAGCTGGGGTTCTTTAAAAGAAAAGAAAGGTTACCTTATTCACGTAGATTGTCCAGTTTATTAGAAGCTCGGAAAGCATGGCTCCCAGCAATCCAAAAAGTGCTCCAGATGCACCAACAGATATAGTCGGGCTTGCGGTTCTCATGCGATGTAGAGTCGATCCTAAACTTCCTCCTATTCCAGCAAGCAGATACAGGAACCCTATTCTGACTGCCAAATCAAAACAGTTAAGAATAGTTAGCATGCATTAATCATGTAAAAACTGAGTTGACATCTCCTGAATCTTAAGTTCTTACTAAATCCGAATTCCTGCTCAAGCCGGATTCCTATGAATAGAAGGCTCAGCATGTTGAAGAGCAAGTGAACGACTCCAGCATGAAGCCACATGCAAGACAAGAGGCGCCATCCTTCGCCCCCTTCCACCACTAGTTGCAGTTCAAGGGCTCCTAGTTTCTTTAGACTGCAAACATTAGCAATTAGATTAGGTTTTACCATGACCGTTCAAGAAGTTATAGCCAAACGTAAGCCTAGTTCAGTTAAGAATGATTTCCAAGTTGGCACAGCCATCAGACACGTTTCCTTTGTTTGACTTTGGGGGACCCGAAAGACACTGCCCCCTGCATTTTGGGGTAGCATAGATTCATAGGAAGGGACATTGTTGCTAAGACCTAGAGGACGAGAGAATGTGACAACCCTGGAATCTTACGTTGGCTATGGCGCTTGATAGATTAGGGTACTTAAGCAAGACATAAGAATCCGGATATCAATTGGTACTTAAGCAAGAGGTTAGAGCAAGTATATGCTATACAGAAAAAAAAATAGTACTGAAGGTATCTTCTTTGTTCAAATTAATCATGTTTTAGTCTTAATCAAATTCTGTAATTAGTTCTTGTTTCTGTAATCCAAAACTATCTCAATTGCAGAAGATTAGACGCAGGTGAGTTGAATTAGTTTTATGCAACAAAACAAATGAGAATTAAGAGACGGAAAAAATAGAAATCATTGGGAGAGGTAGGAGGAGATTCTTACGTAAGTGCGGCAGGACCAAGGAGAGGGTTTTCTCTGAAGGGTTGGAAAGAAAACCTCTTCAAGAAAGGAAAAAGACACTTTTCCCCTGTAGTTGGACAGTCATTGACGTACATTGTGTACATGAACATGGCAACATTGACGACAAACACGATTGGCATGAGCCACGGCACCCATGGCTTTGGAGGAGGGGGGCACAAATGGGGCGGGGGCATGGAATGCCGAGACTTTTGTCTCTTTTCGCGCCCCTTCTCCATGTCTTCGGAGGATGGTGTTCTCTCCCCCATTTTTTCCGGCCACAGGGGGTGGTAGAGGAAGAGGAAGAGGTAGAGGTAGAGGCGCACACTGCACCGGCGCTTTTGGCAGATGCTAATGTGCACCACCAAGTTCCAGGGAGGAGAAAAATGAGAGAAATATTGGCACCGGGTGGCAAGGAACGAGTTTGGCTAGGTTGGTAGTTAAGTTTGGTACTCTCCCTTGATTATAGATGTCTGGAAATGACTTTATGGCCCTTCTGACCTCTATTCTTTAACAAAAAAAAAAACAAATAAACAGAAAAATAAAAATTCATTTTTTTGGCCAAAAATAAATAAGATTGGATTACTAAATAAAAGGTTCGACTTAATAACCAATTCAATGTTGAAAGTTGCTTTAGTTTACTTTGCTAATTAAGAAAATAAACATAGTTCGAGTTGGAATTATGACATATTGATAACGATCAAGACACGTAGGGATATAATTAGGTAATAACATTAGGGGCTATGAGTACTTTGGGGGCTCAACAGAATGAAGTTATCCCATTGCAGATTCTCTTGTTACATTTAGAAACTGTGGTAGAAACACCAGCCTGTGGTAGTTTTGTATTTGTTACAGGTTACAGGACTCAGCTCATCAGCCATTGCTTCTACGCAATGTTTAAAATATTGGTATTGGTGGAAATGTTGAACGCAAATTTGTGGACGTATTGATGCATATATTGAATATCAATGTTGATATCAATTGCTTTCAATTAAAATGATGAAAAATTAAAATGGAACTTTAGGTACTGTAAACATTGGTTTTGACGAAATATACAAGTTTCTTCGATATTTAACAGATATGTTAGAAATATCCACGATATATGTCGATTTTACCGTAAACTTAAGAGTTTGTCCGATATGAGCTGAAGTTTAGGTTCCACCTCCATTTTCATATCTTTCTCTATTTTATTGGATATTTCCATGTGAGTATTGATCGTATCGAAGAAATTTTAAACATTGCTTCTACGTAAGGTTCTGCTACAAACTTTTGTGTTCCCAAATTGCATAGCTCAAGCTATTAGTAAATGATAGGGATTGGAAATGTGTTTGGATTTGGTTAGCTTCTATGATGAAGAATGTTGATGTTCTATCATAAAATTAATTGAGAAGTAGTCCAACTACTTATAAGCACATGCAAGGTCCCTGTTCTCATTAATGTGGGATTCATTCTCAACACGTCCCCTCACGTGTGATGAATTTTCAAGTCTAACACGTGGATAACACAACTCGGATGACGTAGAGTATGTGTGGTCGTTGAGCTTCACACCTGGGATAACCTGCTCTGATACCAAGTTGAATATCAGAATGCACGATGAACAAATAAATACAAAACTACACTACTATTTTATTAATTGAAATCAAATAAACATGAGTCAAGATGGCTATAAACTGAGGATTACATTGTGACTAAGTTGTTCTCTATTGAATAACAAATCATCCTACTTTATAATATAGTAACCTAATCCCTAATCATACTTTATAATATACTAACCTAACCCCTAATCCTACTTTATAATATACTTTATAAAACACTAACCTAATCCCTAATAAACTGGAGAATAAACCTAATTATTAATGTTTTCTAGTACCACTGTCAAACTCATGGCGGTACACAATATAAGTTTGCCAACAAGTAGATGCGGATGCAGATTCAATTAAGTAGATAGGCAGGCTCTCCTACAAGCAGACAAGCAAACATATCCAGCTATAGATTTCGTTAAGCTTTGATACTATGAAGAAAGTAAGGTTCCGCCATAAAACCAATTGGGGTAAATTACACTATGGGTCGAACAACACTATCATACCTCATCTTTTAAAAATGACAATGTCATACCTCATCTTACGAATTTGTGCCAAAGTCAGACCTCCATTAGTTTTTCTATTAATTTCTCTATTAAGTGCTGACATGGTTAGAGACGGAGCCCACTCACTAATCCAACTGGATTAAAAATAATTAAATATATTTTTATACTAGTACAAAAACATGTTTGCGCGACGAAAACTTGCGCGACGCAGCTAAATGTGTCGCGCAAAGTATGTTTGCGTGACGTTAAACACAAAACGTCGCGCAAAGGCCATTTGCGCGACGTTTTGTGCGTCCCGCAAGATTTTGGCGCTAAAGCAAGTAAGTTTTACCGCTTTTTCTATTGACTTTGCATGAAGCAGGGCTACGTGAGTCGCGCAAAACAGCTTTGCGCGACGCACGTGCACTTACGTTGCACAAAACATCTTTGCGTGACGTATGTATCGTTGCGCAAAACAGCTTTGCGCGACGTAGGTGCACGTGCGTCGCGCAAAGCTGTTTTGCGCGACGCCACATACGTCACGCAAAGTCAACTAACTAGTGTAGTACAATTGCTTTACAAAGACAGGTGTCAAGTGATATTGTAGGACAATTTACACTTGTTATAGGTTCTATTTATGGACATATGCTAGTATTCATGCGAAGTTCGTAGGACAATTTCAAGACCAAGGCAAACTCCCTATTTCAACCATTGCAAATCCGAAGGAAGGATTTGAAACTGCCAAGGAAATCATCTTGAGAAGTATCAAGGAGGTTGGAACGGACCCTCAACCATCAAAATCAAATCACAAGGAAGATGAAAGATTGCAATTTGAGGAAGAGGAACACACCCAACACACGGCAAGGGTGGAAAGAAAGCGCTACTTGGGAGGCAACCCAATGCACTGAATAAAACAAAGCATGTTCATTGATTTTCGAGAAATTACAAGTGCGAAAAAAAAAAAATGTATCTAACTTTAATAACCTTAGACATATAATAACCTTAAAAATGAAATTGTAGTTCTATTAATCATAATTTATCAAAGCTAATGTGATAATTGGATTCTTAATCTTCTTAATCTTATTTTATTCCAGATTCTTAATCTTCTTAATCCTGGAGTGATTGGATTCTTCGTCCGGCTGCAAGACGTAAAAGAAAGCGCTACTTGGGAGGCAACCCAATGCACTGAATAAAACAAAGCATGTTCATTGATTTTCGAGAATTACAAGTGCGAAACAAAAAAAAAAAGAGAAAAAAAAAATTGTATCTAACAAAGAAAGAGAAAGATGGAGTCTTCACAAGGGTTGTGTACGTGAAGCCCCACTACGTGGCAACACTCTAGGAGCGGGAGGCATCGGAGCAGGAGGCATCGAAGCGAGAGGCATAGGAGCAGGAAGCACCGAAGATAGATCATTCGAGGCCCCAATCCTTGGTGGAACGCTAGATGACGCAGGAAAAAGGTGCCTCTGGAAGAAAGACGCAAGCTTTTGACGGTCATTTTGAATACGACCTTGAGATTCTTGCATCTCATCAAGCTTCCTCTTCATGCCTGTCGAATAATTATTGGCAAGCATGTGCAAACTTCTATTCTCGTGCTTAAGCTGTTTGATCTCTTGCTTGAGATTTTCCACCTCTGCCATCAATGATTCAACCTGACGGGAGCGAGCAAGTAGGCGTTGGCCCATGTTGGACACAGAGCCCGCGCACTGAACGCTGAGAGCTAGGGACTCTTGAACGGCTAACTCATCGGACCGTCCTGAAAGCAGCTGACAATCTTTAGGAGTGAGGAGGTTCCGAGCTACTATCGTAGCTGTTGTTGCATCCGTCATCACAGAGTCTTCACCTGTAAGAGGGCCATGAGAAGATAAGAAAGACGGGCACCATACCTTATCCTGACGCGGCGCGACCGGATCACTGCTGAGACTCAAATCTAAGCAAATGTTCGATGGGTTAGATGAGTTACCCATTTTTCAAGAAGTTAAAAGAGAAGGGTTGGATGGAGTAAAATCTCGACGGGTCGGAGACGGATTTTGGGCAATCTTCAAAGTGTGCATGTTAGAGGTGATCGATCACCTCTATTAAAGGAGAGGCGACACAATCACCAATTCAGAATTGAAGAGACACCACTCTTCAAAGCCGGATTTTCCTGCGTAAAGATCGCAGACTCTTCAGACGCAATCCCGGCTTTTCAGATAAAGCGTGCCACTTTGTCAAAAGCTCTCTGACAAAGCTGAAGACGCGTGGAGGCCGAGAAAGCAGCTACACACTTTTGCCGACAAGCGTGGGTGACAAAGCCGAAATCCCGGCTTTTCAGAAAACGCGTGCAACTTTGTCAAAAAATCTCTGACAAAGTTGAAGACGCGTGGAGGTCATTGCCGCATCCGCACTACTACTTGCCATTACAATTCCTATATACATCAACATTCATGGCAAGGCATACACCCAAAAACGCATGACTCTTCTTCTCGGCCGAAAATGTAGCTGCAACCAGACCTCTCAAACATGCTCAGTTTTCTTCTTCCCTTGAGAACACATATTCAACCATTGATGTATTCCCCAAAGAAGATACCAGATGCCTGGAGTACAGATGAGGCAAGAGGAAACGGTGGATCGAAGCATGTGGAGACAAGCGCAACAAATATATGTGCTGATCCATTCGCTGCTTCTTCAAAAGCAAAAGTATCTCATATCATCAAGGGCGAAAGCAAAGGTATCTCATATCATGATCTTTCCCTGTCTTTTCCTTTGTCCTTGTTATTACTCGCATGGCAAAGTGAAGTGAGCAATCAGTCGGCACTTAGAGTCAGTCTTCCGATCTGGAACCGACTACCTGGAATCTATTCCCTGGTTGCTTACCTAGCGTTGCTCTCGAGTAGTCATCTTCAAAGGTTGATACACTTCCAGAGAAGGGACCACATCTGCTTGGAGAAAGACGAGTGACAATGAAAAATCAATCTTTCTAATTAGTATCCTCTAACCCTCTTCAATATGAATTGGAAAGATTGAACAAAGAAACAGGTCATCACCTCCACCTCGTGCTTGCCTGCCATGTGTCAGAATCCTCCAGCCCAGTTCAAGATTAGCCTGTGGAAAATCAACGATTGGAGGAAACCAGAAAATCTTCCAGTCAAACTCAAGATCAAGCCTCAATGCAATCACCAAGGAGAAAATCTTCCAGAAAATCTTCCAGTCAAACTCAAGATCAGGCTCCATCTTTTTTTTTTTTTTGTATGCACTTGTAATTTCTCGGAGATCAATGGACATGCTTTATTTTATTCAGTGTATTGGGTTGCCTCCCAAGTAGCGCTTTCTTTTACGTCTAAAGCAACGATAAATAAAAAAAAACTCTAATGTGGGATTAATCTTCACCATGTCCATTTGTTATAATGTTTAAAATAATCGATGGATATTAACTTAAAAAGGATGAAAATTTTAACTTGACACAAAAATAAAAAAAACTCAATGCAACGATAAATAAAAAAAAAACTCTAATGTGGGATTAATCTTCACCATGTCCATTTGTTATAATGTTTAAAATAATCGATGGATATTAACTTAAAAAGGATGAAAATTTTAACTTGACACAAAAATAAAAAAAACTCAATGCAACGATAAATAAAAAAAAAAACTCTAATGTGGGATTAATCTTCACCATGTCCATTTGTTATAATGTTTAAAATAATCGATGGATATTAACTTAAAAAGGATGAAAATTTTAACTTGACACAAAAATTAAAAACCTAAAATGTTATTTCCTACCCCCAAACTTATTTCACACTTTGTCCTCAAAGTGTGGAAAATAAATAGAAGAGACAAGATCAGAAACAAAACTACTAAATCCTAGAAAATGTAAAACAAATATAAAAAATAAAGAAAATACCCTAAGCAAACAAAATAGGAAAGAG